GTTTTTATTCTGGCTTCTGTTTTCTCCAGCAGATATAATGGCACATGACCGTTGAGCCAACAGTAATCCAGTTACAAAAGTCTTCAGAGTTACTGCACCAACCAAATTAAACTTGATTACATCCAATTATGCTGAAAGGCCAGACAACAGTTCTTAGCTTGGGGTGAAGTAACTTCTTGCAGTCGCATGTGGGGAGGCCTTGCAGGGTGTCAGGAGGATAATTGCTCGTTTGCTCTACCACAGAGCACCATCTGCTCTTGAAGTAATGCCTAAGGATGTGAGAGTACACCGGGGTCGGGTATGCAGGCAGGGCAGCACGGCAGAGATTTCTCCCTGCCTGTTTTATTATAATTTGTTTTATGGTTGCTTGCCCTGGGTCCAGCTGTTCTCAAAGCCCCATTGTGCCAAGTAGTGTCCATAGAGGGAGTCCTTCCCATGCCGAGCTGCCGGTCTCATCGGGGGAAAAACAAAGATGAAGTGGCCTTTATGCTTATGTCAGAATAGTGTCTGTGTCTGGAGCATTGCCTGGTGCACTTTCCATCAAGCAGTTGTACAATGGTTTTCTGTTTTGAGGAGGTGAGAAAAAAATGGGAAACCTCCTAGATTCCCTCACTTCCGTGGTAAAAATAGCAAAAGGGGGGGAGGTGGGGGAGAGAAAAAGGTAAACGTAGCTGCCAAAAATGTGTCTGGATCCTGGCAGGGAAGTTTGCATGAGGAGCTCATCTGTCCTAGAAAGAATCACCAGGTGCAAAAAAAAACTCTACCTGAGTCCAGAATGGAGAAATGCATTTATTAGTGTTCTGCCCCAGCTCAGCTCCAGGCAAAGTTATTTCTAAGTGTCTAATTTGGTGAGAGAAGTGGGACTGGGCTTCAGTGTTGACTGAATAGAAATAGGAAGTCTTCTTTAATAATCTTCAAGTGTGAGGATGGAAGTGTCCTCCAGCTGCATCCACAGACACCATCCAGCTCAGCACCCAAAGCCCCTCCCAGTCCTGCCTGGGGGGGTCTGTATCCATTCTGGATGGGATGTGCTGGTTCTGGCCAGGATCTCCAACAGAGACAGCACAAAGAAGGACCATCCACTCCACACAAGCCTATGTGCCTTGAACGCTGCTGACCTGCAAGTCATCTCTTCTCTGTTTCAGGCCTGTATTAAGGCATCAGAGCCCCTGTCTTTACCACAACACTCTACTGAAGATGCTTCAAACTGTCTCATTATCTGATCAAAGCACCTTGTGCTGCTATTCCCTCTGCTCATGGAAAGCAGCCAGTGCTGCTGGAGCTGCTGTCTGTCACAAGAAGGAAAGGACTGTCTTGTGGTTTGGCTTCAATTGCAGTCGTTCTGGGGGGCTTGCTGTGCTCTTCTGCGGAGGGTGGGAAGCTTGAAAAGACTTGAGTTCTTGAAAGAGGTGATTTTTTTTATTTTAACCTTGAAAAATTCTTCATTAAATCAAAAAGCTGCTCCCAACCCGCTCTGCTGCAGGAACTGTTGCGTGAAGATAAAGTCAGGTCTTATTGTTGTGGAGCTGCATCTCAGGAGACTGAGCATTCGCTCAGAATTAAAAGCAGGCAAGGAGCACCAAGCAGCACAGCACATTTCTCAAGCCTTTCCTTCCCCCTCCCCGCCCCCCCAGTCTGTTTCGGTTTATATTAACCGCCGTATAGGCATTTCCAAGGGATTTGTGCCTGGCTGGGGTAGGTAGCCCGAAGCGTTTCAGCCAGCTGGTCCCTAAGCCACAGGAAATGCCCAGTGTCTCCATCCCGACTGCTTGCACCAGCGGCTGGGAGCGGAGAATTGCTCCGCTTGCAGCTTTCCCGTCTGCCAGCAGATGGCACAGCTCATTTGAATAAATTTGGAGCAGGAAAGAGCAACCGTGGACATTGTGGTTTTTTTCTTAGAAGTTCTGATTTTTCGGTTTCAGACATGAACAAGAAACCACACTGAAGGTTACGATTAAAAACCCCAGAGGTTTCTGCAGAAGAAAGTGTCACTTTGTTGTGCACACCAGCACACTAAGTACAGTACAAGGGCTTTTTCTTAAAAAAATGTTTCTGTCTCAGCCTTACCCTTGTTCAAGGAATATTATTTCTTATATGGCATCTCTTAATTTCTCCCTTGCTATGTCTGCTAATTCTGCTGTTCCTCCTTCAGTTGCTTCTGCTGGCAGAGATGGATTCTCAATGGCTTCGCATAACTCCCTTGTCAGGTTTTTCCAACACAGGGATGTGGTTTTCACACAGTTTTCCGCCAAGGCTGCTGGCTGTTAGCTCACACTCCAGAGATTTACGCAGTCAGCTGGGGCCAGCCTAAGTTCATTCTCCACTGCCGGTTGGAGGAACAGCTTGAAGTTGGTAAAAACTGTTACGAACGTGCAAGCGCTGCCAAATCGAGCTTTGCTCATGACAGACATGGTCTTTAACTCCCAGGGGCACTGAGGGTAGCATTTGTGTATCCTCCTGGCCAAAAGCTTTAAGGAGGGCCAGCATTATAAGGCGTTGTAATGTTACATGCATTGGATCATATGTAATCTGGAAGCCTGATGCTGGAATTAACTCACTGTTCCCACTCTGCGTACAGCCACAGTGGAATTGGGGAGGCACGTTCATGTGCAGCATCTTTGTCTGAAGCATTTTTCTGCACAGAGCTTATATTACAGTTGGACTCGATGATCTTGGAGGCATTTACCAACTTCAATGATTCTGTGATTCTGTGTCACATGTGAGAACAGCAGCATATTCAAATGTACAGAAAATGCAACCCATTTCCCATCCAAAAGTCCCAACCAACTGAGATACCTATCAGGTATCACCAAAAGCATGGGAAAAAGAATTCACAGGGGGACTTCATGTTTTGAATGCTGTTTGGATATATCTTGTGATATAACCAAGTCAGTAAATGTGATCCAGAATAGGGGATGAGTGGAGAGAAGGAATAGTACAGCAAGGGAGCAGGGCAATAAACAAAGGGCTGTCATAGAACATGTAGAATAATTCATTCCAGTTCACACAATGATAATTAGGGAGCATTTCTTTAAACATCCATCACCCAAATGAAGTGTTCCAACTCTGTGTGGTAGAAGTTGTTAACATAAAAATGCAGACAGGGTTCTCTGCAACTGGTATTCAAACTGATACCACTTTGCATTGGTGTCAGTATGAGTGGATTCCTAACCTGTGAATCATTAACATACACCATGGGATAGTTTTGCATGATACCTTTTTATTAATCATGATCATCTGTTCTTAATTGAGTCTTTCTAAATACCCAATATCTCACTGGCCTCCCTGAAATTTCTGTGTTTTGGGAAGATCTCTCAAGGGCAGTTTTCTCTATGAATGCACAAAGCGCCTCTAACCCAGGAGAGTTTGCAGGTGAGACTCTGGCTCTCGTGCAGTGTAAATTGATATAGTTCCAGTGCACTGAATAAGGCAATGCTGGTTGAGGCCAGCACAGAACTGGTCTCTCCATCCTCCCCTGCTCTCAGCCCCATCACACACACTGCACTGGCAGAGATGGGCAAGCTGATCTGAGCATAGCCTCTCTCTGCAGAGATTGCCCAGCGCTGGAATAGGATCAAGCCCTTCCTTTGGGTAGTGAGAAAGCAGAAAAACCTTCCTATTTAGCCTTTGCATTTCACTGGCAGAAAAACAAAGCTGTTGAGAAAATACATTCCTAACAAATGACTGACTTGTTCTGTAAGGGGTTATTCCCCTACGTTACGCATTCACAAAGATGATAAACAACATATGGCTTAACCGGGCTGTCCCCATCTTGACAAGAGGTGTTGCTCCTACCTCCCAGAGGCACTGCAAGTTGCAATTACTGCTCTGAAGTGATGCAAGATCCCTGCTCGAGCAATGTTATATAAAGGTTGTTGTTGTGTGACATACAGTAGCACATCCAGCCAGCATGGAGTTGTTATTGCACCAGCTACAGCACAAACACATAAGGAGGGACCATCCCTGCCCACAGAGGTTGGACAGGCAGGGAAGCTGAGGCAGGGATGACTGAATGTGCCCGAGCAGGTTTGGGGCAGAGGTGTTGTATAGAGACAGGTCTTAGAAATTCATCCCTAGCAAATTGTTGCGTTTTCCACATAAGCGTGGGCTAAGAGGACTCAGTTTTTTATGGGTGCCATGCCCAAGTCTTGCTTTAAAGGGTGCAGTGAAAGCAAGGTTAGAGCATAATCCAACTCGAAGGGCTGTAGAGAGACGCTTTATTACTGCCTGAGCTGGGGAGGGGAGGAGAGGATCAGGCTTTGAAATGTACAGTGTTTCTAGATCTAAAAGTTGATAGTGAATCTCAGCCAGGGTATAATACACTGTAATACAAAACCTGGCTTGTCTGCATGAGACTCCAATGGCAGTCAAACTCCCTTTCAGTGGCCACTGCCCCATTACTTAAAAATCAATAATAAAATACGAAGCTTTTATTGATTCCCCTCGTGGTTTTTTATTGCTATTTTTTTTCTCCAGGAGGGTTTTTGGCATCACTGGTGTTGGCTGTTTCTTGCTCAACCTCTTTGTTTTCCTATGGCACCTTCATCTCAGGCACAAGCCCCTGAGCACAGAGAGGCTAAAGCCAGCCTCGCCTTTCCGAGGTGCGAAGGACCTTTTCACCAAGAGAGAGGAAGGGTCCTGGGGTAATGAAACCTTACGGGGGAGAGGTCTGGGAGGAGCTCTACTTTTTAATTACGGAAACGTTGCGCTGTTCGAGATCACCTGCTGCAGCATTATAAGTTTCTCTATAGGCACTGTATGAGTGTGAGGGGGGCCGGGACGAGCGGCAGCCCCCCGGGGGCGGCGTGGGGCCGGGCAGCCCCTCTCCCTGCGGGGTTTGTGTCTTTAACAGGGCTGGCGGGGCGCCGGGCGGGCGGAGGCGTGGTGAGCCGGGAAGGAGCCAGTTTCCTGCTTCCCCGCTCGCAGCCGAGCGGCCGCGGCGGCGGGGGGAGGCGCTCGCCGCCCCCCCATCCATCCTTCCATCTCTCCCTCCCTTTTTCCCTCCCTCCCTCCACCCATCCATCCACCCATCCATCCATCCGTCCGCTCACCCAGCCAGCCACCCCCGCCCGCCCTCCATGGGCCGGCGCGGCCGGCGCTGAGCGCCGGGAGGCAGCGCCCGGCGGCGCCCGGCTCCGCGATGAGCGGCGGGGAGGTGGTCTGCTCGGGCTGGCTCCGAAAGTCGCCGCCGGAGAAGAAGTTACGGAGATACGTAAGTCTCTGCCCACCCCATCTCATCCTTACCCCGGCCCCGGGAAAGCCGGGATCCATCCCCCCGCCTCCATCCCCGCTCCTCCGCCGCCAGCCCGGGTGCACCTGCCGCCGCCTCTGCCGGCGCCGCGGAGGCTCGGCTGGGCGGGGGTGCCCCTTGCCCGGGCGGGGAACGAGCGCTCCTGGCTCCCCGCCTCTCGGGGAAGGCGGGTGGGAGCATCCCGGAGCCCCCGGCTTGCTCCTGCCCCGGGCTGGCGGGATGGGCGGTGACGGCCGCGGCCGGAGTGGACACTCGGCGCTGGGGCCGCTCGGGCTGCGCCCCGCGGTGGCCGCGCTCACCCGGGACCTGCGACCGTCACACCCCCGCCTTTGAAGTCGTCTGTTTTAGGGGGAGGCTGGGAGTACCTTGTCCCAAAGAGTAAAGGTACTAACGCATCTTGGATCTCCCCCAACATTCCCATAATAGTCGCTCTCCCCCATCCCGTGCAGGGTTCCTATTAATCATTGAACGTCCGAACCCTTTGAAGATAGCACCAGTAGCGCTTCGATAGCCTTTGTGTCGTTAGCGGCTGAGATCAAACACTTCAAAGAAGTTGTAAAAAGAGGGTCCAAATGCCAGTTCTGTCACATTCCCCACTCATTGAAAGAAATAACTGTTCTTTGCGTCCTCCGCCTGATGCTCCTGCCATGTGCCACGAGCATTAGCGCTCAGAATCGCGCTGCCGTCCTATGACTCGGCACATCGCCCCCCACGATGTCCAGGGTCCCACTCCCTGACACCAGTGACCAGCCTCAGCCAGCCTTCAGATGACTGGAATGCAGCCTCTGGGAAGGGAGCTGGATGCTCACCCTTCCTGGGGGGACACCAGCCAGATCATCCTTTGGTCCTGTTGCTTTTGCCTGCGTGCATTTGGGGAATGGCAGGCAGAACAAGTGCAGCTGGTGTCTCCCCAGTGCCTGTTATTGATTGATGGAAGCATCACTGTCTACCCTTGAGAGGGAGATGGATGTCTGTAGTCCCGTACTGCAGGCTCGAGCAGGACTGGGGTTGCGTCTGATTGGTGATGGACTGTTATTAGCCTTGCCCAAAATGGGTTCAGCCCCATAGATATCAGTGGTACCACATCCCTTTGCATTAGACTGTGTGTGTTCAGTTGCTCTTGGCAATTCTTTCCTTGTGTGCCTTATGCTCTTCCAGGGAATATCAGGTTGGCACAGGGCTGAGAGGTGGAACTGCTGGGGAATCCAGTAAGGTAAACCTGAGTGTTTATGTGGGAAGTATCAACCCCCTAATGAACGTAGGTAGGCTTTGTGGGAGGTGGACAGAATGACTTTGTGCATGCTGAACTGTGGAGGATGCTTTTAGCTTAATGGAGCAAAGCACCTTCCTCCCGCAGAAATCAACTAATTGCTGATCCTGAGTCACCAATGGCCTTAACTCATCAAACATCATTAGCTCCCCAGCATCTGCCCCATGAAAGGGCGCTCACATCACTGTCTGAATATCCAGCCTGTGCTCTGGCATTCCAGCAAGAGCTGAATAAATCTGCTAAATGCTCTACATGGAGGGTGTGACACGCCGGCGGTTAGTGCTAATTATCGATGTGCATAAGAGTGCTTTTCATCCACATACATCCCAAAGTGCTTTGCAAGCCACCTATGTTTTCAAAACATCCTCACTGCCCCAAGAGGAAATGCAGCCATGCTGAGATGTGCCCAGCCATCCCACACAGCCTCGGCGGGGCAGGAAGCGATGCTTGGCAGATGTCACTCGAGGGGATCTCTGCGCTGAAGCGGTCCCGGCGCTGTGGTCAGTGGGACTTCCCTTCCAGTCACACCAGTTGCACCAGCTTCCTGCATCAGTGGCTAGATTTGAAAGTGTTGGCCTTTAGCTTGGACTGTGTCTCACTTGGTGGTGCCTGGTCCCTTTGCTTTTTCATGCATTATTATTGATACTGTGTTTATAGCTGTGTAGCTGTGGTGTGCATTTAGGGTGTTGGTGTGTGGGTCAGGCTCTCGAGTGTAGCTCAGAGCAGCTTGCTTGTCCAGAGCCTGAGGGTGATGGCTTTCCTCCTGTAAAACCTGCCTTTGTCCACAATAAACCCACATGGTTGGACTTTGGTTTTTGTGCACAAAAGACGGTTTATGCCGGCTTTTGTATGGCCTCAAAGGGAAGGTGCTGAATCGCTGGCTTTGCCACTTTCCTTATGCCTTCAGTTTATGTTCTGCTTTGAGATCTCAGAGGAGAAATCTCAGGCTGCAGGATGCTGCTAATGGGGTTTGAAGTTCCTGCTCTGGCTGTATTGACACAGGGGAGAGGATAGATTTATTTTTCCTTTGACAAGTGCATTTCAAATGTATGTGTCTGCACATGGGTGTGTTGCTAACTCTGTCCTTGAAGTGCTGTGCTTTTATAAGCCTGGTTTTGTTTTGCTTTTATTTTTCAAGGAGATCTGTGGCAAGAAAGGAAAGTACTGAATTTTCCCTCTGACTTCCACCCAGGGTGGTTGGGAAAGGGGACTCTTCTCCACATCTGATCTGTGTGGCATTAATCTGCATTTACAGCAGTGCCTGCTCTGTTTCACTTCAGAGGATTGTGTTTATGTGAGATTGTGAGACCTATTTGTACAACGCTCTGGGAAATATTAGTGTTGTGAGTTTCTTTTCTGCTGAGGGACGTTCAAATGATCAAATGATGACTGCTTAAAGATTGAGACAAAGTGTGCCTTTTTTCAGCCTCATAACTGCAGACAGGGGTGCATGTAGACTCTGGGCAGTTTGGTTGTAAATGCTACTGTAATATTGATAATAAAACCTAAGCAAACAATTGAAGGTCAAAAGTAATTGAAGTACCAAAATACCACTTTTCACCTCTGCTCTGCTTGGGACATCAAACTCCCTCATCCTCATGCTTAATTGCTTTTTTTCAGACAAACACTTCTTGTACATTCATAGAATGGTTTGGGTTGGAAGAGAGGTTTAAATTCATCTATCCCAATCCCCTGGCAATAAGCAGGGACATCTTCATCTAGACCCCAGGTTCCTCAGAGCCCTGTCCAGCCTGGCCTTGTATATTTCCAGGGATGGAGCATCCACCACCTCTCTGGGCAACCTGTGACAGCGGCTCACCAACCCCATTTAAAAAAATTTTCTTCCTCATATCTGGATCTGAATCTACATTCTTTCAGTTTAAAACCATTGTCCCATGTCCTGTTGCTACAGACCCTATTAAAAATCCTGTTCCTACCTTTTGGCTCTCTGACTTTCATGCATGAAAGGGTCTCCTTGTACACAGCCACAAAGCACAGAACTGTCTTTTAATTCTCCTTCTGGCTCCTCCTTAAAGCACATGTGAAAAATTAAAAAAAAAAAAAGTCCCTAAATAAAACTCTGGGCTTTAGTTGTGTGACCAGCCAGCCGAGACCAGGGCATGTTGTGCTGGTCCTGTACTGACTCACTGTCTCCTGGTCCTCTCCTGCTGGACGTGCCTGTCTGTTGTCTCCTGTGTGAGACGTGGGTTTGGAGCAGTGTTTTGTGTCTGTCCGCTGCCCGGCACGATGGGCTCGGGGCTGGACTGTCTGGCAGGGAAGCACTGTGAAAAACAAGTGCTGTCGTAGAGCAGCTCAGCTCCCTGTCGTTAGATCAGTGTGCTCTGCCTGCTCATTTATGTGCCATGAAGTCAGAGTATTTTCTGTCTGGCTGAGATGTATGTCTGCAGTTCTGACTAAAACAAAAGCTTCTCATCGTGTGCCGGTTGTACAGTCCTCTAGTGCTGTGGGTTTTGGTTTTTTTTCCTCCCAGCTGGTTTATCTGGGTTTGTCCTTGTGCATCAGTTTCGTTCTTACATCAAGCAAAAGCAGTTTAATCAAGGTCATTGGAAGAGCTGCTCCTCTGTGATGGGACAAGCGAGAAGAGGTTAAAGGGCTGATTTACTGATTGCAGCCCTGTTCCTAGGGGCAACTCTTTGATGAAGGGCTTATTTTGGTTCCTGAAGTAGATCCTTCATATCCCACCTCAAAATGCATTGTAAGGATGTCTTCCTTAAATGAGAATGTGGGATATGGACTGAAGTAGGACCATTATTGCAGGGTTGTCATAGGCTGTCAAGTAGTGGAGATGCCAGGTGGAGTTTGGCACAGTGCTGATTGGGATGAAATTTTATAGGAGGGAGAAGAAAGAACATCTCTCTATTCTGCAGCAAAGAACAAAAGATAGGTATTGTGCAAAATTATCTCCTTTTTTCTGTCTTCTCTCTAAGGAGTTTTAATCGGTCACTCCCATGCTCAGCTGTGCCATGCCTCATTCGGGAGCTCTACCCATTAACAAAAATAGGAAACAGTTGCAGACATGCCAGAGAAAAGCACCAAAAATTGAGCAAAGATATAGAAAACAGAAAGACTGAAAGAAATGGGGTTGTTTGGGGATGAGAGGCCTGAGAGGAGAAATAACAGTCCTGGAGTATGCCAAAGGTGGCTGTGAAGGGGAAGGGGGCGAACTGTTCTACATGGCTGGTGATTGGAGGCCAAGAAATGCTGAGCTTGAGCTGCAGCAAGGGAAACAAGTGTAGGAAAAACTTCCTAACCTCTGATTGCCAGAGGAGTGGAGCAGTGGAACAGATGGTTTGGGATGGGCTTGGAGTCTCCATCGTGGCAGTTCTGAAGTGCAGGTTGGCCAAACTCCACTTCAGAGAGCTGAATCTGTTTAGAGGCAGTGGAATAAATTTGACAAATTCTCCAGAAGTTCCTTCCAGTGCTGCTTTGGGTGAATTTATGTGTTTTGAGCCTGGATGCAGGGAGGGGTAGCTGAGAGGCTTAAGGGCACTGATTATGTCACCTGGATCTCCTGATGGGACTCAAGGAAGTCCTCTGACAAGTTCTTTGTAGAAAGTTTTGATTGCACTGAAACTCCATGAGTTTGCACTTATTCCATCTGTCAGAGTGCCTTGCTGCGCCCTGCTCCTCCCATGTAATCTCCCAGCTTGATCCCAAAAGACCATCATAT